CAGCTGCTGGCAAGCAAAATTAACAATCAGAGAAGAGAGAGGGGAGAAACGAAAGAGAAAAACCTTTGTTCATGATCATTTCTCAGCAAATATGCAGGCGCAACCAATTGCCCTCTGTTTGGAAAGTGAAGAGTATATTTCAAGTCGCGCAATGTTTATTGTTGCTCGTTGTTGTTCGTCCGTTTATCCACATAGATTATTTACATTCCAAGCTTTTGTTGGTCACAGTTTGACAATTACTGATGTCAGTCTTACAGGCTTACAGTCACCAAATCAATCATGTATCAATTATTATTAATTACTTATTACACTGTGAGGCTAGTTTCTTCTCTCTTGGGTGATTTAAGAGATCTCAGAGTATGCACAAAGTCATGACTACTCGCTTCTAATTGTGATAGGCGACAATTGAAAATGATTCATACGAAGCATCTGCGCAAATTGAATTGCAAATATTAAATTAATTTGAGGAATTTCATGGCAGATAACAACATGCATGGAAACGGAAGTCGGACTTAAATCATCAGCAAAAATTTATAAGAAATATGCTCCTCACATCAGAAGAAGAAGCAGAATCATAGAAAAATATATTTTGGAAAGTATTAATTTCAATATTCCAAAAACCATATAAAAAAACAGATATATTATCATAAACATAAGCAATATTTAAAAAAAAAAAAAACAGAAATAAAATAAATAACCCGTTGGCAATAAATCATTATGTCTAGCCTTAAAATCAGTATATTAGAATCGAATTAAAAAAAGAGACTCACATCAAATCATGTGCAGCGAAAATTCTTCCCTATTAGGCAGACAAGTTTTTTATATAGGTTTTATCACCTTCTTTAAGCGGACACTCTACTTCAGCGGACCATTATGAGAGCGAAGTATGTGTAGCTAACACTCCCACAACGGACACCCCTTTTAGGCGGACACAACACAATCTATGGGTTAGGGCGACCGCGTTAAGCGGACTCATGCTTACGAAGTGTAACGATAATAGAGCATACTTTTAGGCGGCGCAATACTTGTTCTACCCAACAACAGTGATGCCCATTTAGCTTTATTTTTCCTTTAGTCTAGATATCAACTAAATGTTATTATCAATCATTTTGGATTGGTTAGCGTTTTCAGTATGGTATTATTATTTAAAGAAAGTTAGGTAAAAAGAAACGTATATTTTTGAAAAGACAACTAAAGATGTGTTATAAATAGACATCAGTTTAAAGTAATTAAAAATGTGCCAGATTTAAGATATTTATTTCTTTATTTTCAACTCTTTCATCTCCATTAACTACACAAAACTTGGCAACACGACTGCGAATGATATGCGGGTATCATAAGCCAACAAATCTCCAAAGCACGAGACAAAAATTTCACAAAAAAGAGGGTAGGACAGACCGCAAGCCAAAAGAAGGAAAAAAAAAAACAAAACGTAACCTAACTTAACCCGAAATCTGAACTCGGCTAATTGCCGAAAAATTGAAATGAAAAAACCCTTCACGGGCAACGCGAGCCGGCAGCCAAAGAAGGATACGATTATTTATGCATTGCGGTAAATGGTAGCACAGGTATACAGAGCGAGAGAGAGTGAGTGAGAGAGTGAGAGAGAGAGAGAGAGAGAGAGAACAGGATCAGCGACAAAAGGGTCAGCGATGCGAGGTGTCGATTACCTTAGCCAGGTAGCTGCGATGCATATCCAAGAAATGGAACCCGAAATTATGCGTAATAAGCCAAGATGGAAATTTTCGAGCAGTTGGTCGGAAAACTGCGCGAATTTCAATTTACGATCGGGTATTAAGAGCGTATGTAGGGGATTAGTGCACATAAAATGCAGGTAACGCCATGCTACCTGTGAGTTAAAGGTACAGTATAGTAATTTAGCACATTTTTTGTTAAATGTTAAAGCATATTTATCTTAACATAAATCATAATTTCAGTTTTATAATAACTCGGAAAGTTGAAGAACTTTTCTTTAAGCATACTTCAAACACAGCTTAAAGTATTTCATTTGTTAAGAGCATTTGTTTATGTGAAATCGTTTATTTTGTTTCAAGGTATTTTTATTTATAGATTCAACATGTGCACACATATTTTTATCACATTGATAAGGCTTGATGTGCGTGTTTCTTAACCTGCTCAACAATTGCGATTGGTTTTCATAGCGGCACTTGGCACCTGCTCGCATATGTATTTATTTATTCATTCACTAATTCGTTCTGTGATAAGAAACTAGTCGATATTGTGACTCAGTTGGCGCACACTCACCTTGGTTTTGGATTTGTTTACGATTTTACGGTATAGAAACTTGTACATAGCACAATAACAATTGCAGCAGCGATAACAACAAAAACAGAAAAACATAAGCCCGATCACGTTTTCGTTCCGAGAAATGTTTCTTCTTTAATTTGACACGCACGATCTTAACAAAAAACTACTTTTCATTCATTTACAATATTGGATTGGAGATTGGAACGCACTGCGCCTGGTAGATCGGCAGTCGATTTATCTGTCTGTCTGTCCGTCCGTCAGTCGGTCTAGGGTCTGTGTCTGCCGCGCGAAACGTCATCGATGACTAAGCGACGCGAGCGAGCCGTGAGTGATGAGGGCCGCGTCTTTTGCAGAATTTTGCATGCGGACGCACAGGAGCGGCTCGCAGGTAAGTCGCGCAATTGGGCCCATAGCTTACACAAGACATGTTAATGGTTATGTGTACAACGTTTTTTTTAACTTGCAAAGCAAATAAAAATTGTTACCTGAATGAAAATTTATTGCATGAAGAACGTAATTCTGGTAATTAAAAAATTTTAATTTCGAATGTCTAAAAGGAATCAAGAATGAACAATTAATTTGTAGTCAACTAAATTGCCTGTAAGTCGTAAAGAACTCTGTTTAAACAAATAATAATAAAAACTTAATAAAATAATATGTAATATACAGAATTAAATGAATGTTTCTTATTAGTTAATAAATATAGATTTAATTGTTTTGGAATACCAGCTGATATCAGATTTATATGCATTACTTTTTATAAAATTTTTAAAATTATATTTCAATATACAAATTGTAGTTTCAATTAGTCGCAACAAACCCCGAATGCGCTCCTGTAGCCCAGCTTTGTTTACAGTTGCTTTTCGATGCCGCTAAATACAGTTGCTCCCACGTTGCTTTGTCGAAAACAACAAAAGCAACTACAATAAGCTAATGTCAACGAAAAGTTCAAAAGCTGGGCACACTTCAAACAAACGGTACTTTTTTATTGATGTCTAGCATTGTTGTTGTTGCGAGAGAATGTCAATGAAAACGTTAGACGGCAGAATAGAAGGAATTGAAGCGTCGAAGTCATTAAAAACGAGCAAATAAATTTGACAACAAAATAAACTTTAACTAGCAAATTGTACGTGGCAAAATGTGAAGAAACTAATTAGCCATAACGAACCAATGGAAGAAAATGGGAACAAGAACGCGCGTCAAAGAGGAAGAGCAGGTGCGGCGCTGCCCTCGTTGGGTGCTTTGACATTTGCAGTGGCCAAAGGTGAGCGACGAAAAGAGAGAGAGAGAGAGAGGGAGAGAGAATCAGAGAAGGGGCAAGCGAGATGATGATGAAGAGATAAGAAATGTGGAAATTTACTAATATTTTATTTTTGTAACTTACCTGAATCTCGAGCAAAAGCTCCTGCTTTTTTCTACGCAGCTCAATCAGCAGCTTTTGCTGCTCCGGTGTCAATTCTGCAAGAATAAAACATAATTCTTAAGCGTACGCTTGCTTTTGTTGTTGCTGCTGCTGTTGATTTGGTTAATTGGAACAGCGACATTCCACTCACACATTCGCGCGAGCACAAGCGCACGTAAACAATACACACCCACAGGCGCATACACAAACGCACGCACACACATACACACATTCACGTACAAGCTGCACTGTCAACATACAAATGCGCACGAACGAGACAGAAGATGCTGCCAAATCAATACAATTACAACAAATGTGCGCATGTATTTTTGTTGTTGTTTCACAACGGGCTGTAAGTTGTATTAATTGGTTTATTAGTTTAACGCCGCATTACGGGATTAAGTCAATTGAAGGCCAGTTTAATAGACACACATGCACACGTACACACACGTACACACACACAGACACACGTACACGCGCCCACAAGCAGCGTCGCTTGTTGCTTCAACACTTTTCACTGTGCCCTGTGCCCTCTGCTGTCTCCCCCTCGCCCACAAACTAATTTGCATTTGGCATTCACACAATTTCCCTTCAATTGCAGCTTAAACTAATCTTTATTGCCTCCATCTGGCTGAGCTTCTTTGTTTTATTGTTTACTCATTGCCCAGTGCGTCGTGTGTTTACCTGGCATCGAGAATTCACTGCGCCCCTTGGATATCGCACCGTACGATCTGTTGTCGAAATTGTCCATTGCGCTTATCATTGTGGCGGGCACGGTTATCACACACGCACACACGTTGCACTAGTTAAACATATTTTTTAACTTTTGTGTATTTGCTGGCGTTTTCATTTATTAAACACAATTAAATTTATCATAAACAAATCAACACAAAAAATTCTTTCGCCTTTTTCTTTCCCACTAGGGATGAACCAAATGGCGATACATGGAGATGGCCCAAATAATACATATCGTAGCTATCGATAGTGAGACCGTACTCTGGCGTTGCCACACTGTTAGGACATGCAATCAATTAATATCACATAGTTTTATTCTTTTCACTAACATACCTGTGAATAAACTAGAATTTAAAATTTGCTTAGCCAATATATTATTTTTCAGTCACATTTAATTTATCATAGACACCTGACACTTCAAAAACAAACCTTATACGACTTGTAGCAGTGTAGCAGACAATACTCTGTTGGTTAACAGATTCGCTCCACTGCGGCGAATTCACTCCTCACAAACTATAAATTTGCAGCATATGTGTGACTCGTTACCAGAAGTCACGCGACTGGTGCACACTAAATATCGCTCATCACTAACCGAGACTGACTGCAAAGGCACTGAGCACTTTCGGATTTCCAGAAAATTCCAAATATTTTCTTAGCATAATCAAAAGAGCACTGTCAGGCAACACAATTGAGCGCGTCTCAAGCACGGCCGGCACTTGGGATCAGTGAATGCGAATATCAACCACATTTTAATACAGCAAACACGCAACAACGACATGGCCAAATGGGGAGAGGGTGATCCACGCTGGATTGTTGAGGAGAGACCCGATGCGACCAATGTGAACAACTGGCATTGGACGGAAAAGAATGCGACGCCCTGGTCCAAAGAGCGACTGCCACAGTTGTTTACCGACTTTAAAATAGGTGCGTTGCTTTTCTTCTGATTGTTGCAAAAATTCTAACCTTAATTTTTTGCTGGCACGGACTGCACGGAGTGCAGAACAACAAGACATCGAATGCGTGGTGGATTCGGTGGACAAGTGCAACGGGGAGGCGACCGTCAACAATCGAAAGGGCAAATTGATATTCTTCTACGAATGGGAGCTGGTGCTCAAGTGGTCCGGCCGCCTGCTTAAGAACAGCAATCTGAGCCACAAGGGCAAGCTGACCATACCGAATTTGTCCGAGGAGAACGATCTGGAGGACGTGGAGATCACGGTGACCATTGACGAATCGAACGACGAGTCGGAGACACTCAAACAATTCATGTACAACGAGGGCAGAGAGCGCATACGCTACCAGCTGGGCGTCTACATCAAGGAGCTGAAGGAGGAATATTCCAAGAACTTGATACTACCAAAGAAGGACGCCAACAGCAGCGACTCGACTGCGGAGGCAAACGATGCCAAGAATGCGAAAAATGCGGCCCAAAAGGCTGCGTCGCTCCCATCAGCCGCCGCCGTGCCCAAATCATCCTCCAACAGCGCAACGCGCAGTGTCGGCTGCAAGCTGGACGTGCGCACGCTCTCCATGACCGAGGAGTTTCATTGCAATGCCAATGATCTCTACAACGCGCTGACAAAGCCCGAAATGGTCACTGCATTTACACGTGCGCCCGCCAAAGTGGACGCCGTACGCGGCGGCGAGTGAGCATTCAATTGCCTTCCCCCCCAAGATTCGACCTCAGCTCATATCGTACTCCATTTGTATCCACAGATTTGTGCTCTATGGCGGCAATGTGCTTGGCAAGTTTGAGGAACTGGTGCCCGAAAAGAAGATCCAACAGAGCTGGCGTCTGAAAAACTGGTCATCTGGTCACTACTCGAATGTCGTCATCGAACTGGAGGAAACTGTAAGTAAAATGCATGCAATAGCAATAGAGATCAGATTCGGTGGGACACAGTCCGTTGTATTTTTCGTTGGTTTAATCCTTGTGAGCTCTTAGAATTTCTGTGCGTTTGTGTAAAGCTTCCAGACAGACGGATTCGGCTCAAGAATATGTAGGCTCGCAGTAAAGTTTGAATATACAATTCAAAAATGGTGAAAAGATCTTTTCTTGACTAAGATTATAGCTTCAAGTCTGTGAATTTTAAATTAGGACCTGGACTTTAGCTATATTATAGCTTTAGAGCTTATCACTCATGACCTCTTTCAAAGGGATATTTCCTTATGTTTAAAATCTATGCTCTCAAAATTCTTTATTTGTATGTATTTTATCGCTGTTTTTCACAGATGTAGTTAAATTTGATGTTACAATCGACATCATTCAGTGCGTAAACTTCATCCACCTTCCGTATTTGGACGCAGTCCTCGTTGTCACCGACATTATTAGGTTCTCCGGGATACCACTTGAAGAACGTCGCTTTGCGACCCGTTGCTAACGAATAGAACTCACCCTCTTCGCCAAGATCGTTAATGTCCAGCCAATACGATGTACTAATCAAATGCATTTCCACAGCATCAAACTCTGCCCGAGTCTGCAGATTAGCCAGATGTCCGCCTAATTCGTGACACCTATGCGCTGCCTCGAACCAGTTTAGCCTTGTCACAGTATCAATATAATAATATTTGTCTCCTATTTTGTCAAAAAGTCCCATATCGTCGCATTTTCTTGCATTGTTTGCGTCTTCCAAGTTTTGTTTTGTTTGTTTTTCCAGTCTATCAAACTTCTCATGCAGCAGACGTTCAATGTTCTCGAGTTTATTTATGGATTCCGATTTCTGTCTAGTTTCATTAAGGTCCACTTGCTTCTGTAAAGCCCTTGTGTGCTCCAATATGGGCTTGACGACTTTAAAGCAATATCTGCCACAGGTAGATTCGAGCTGCCTCAACTCTTCACAACTCTGTTGGAGGGAATAATCAGTTTCTACTATATATTTGCAAAGTTCACGGTTATCACTTGCCTCGCTGCTCGCGTCTGCTGTGAGGACTGCGATTATCGCAATAAAATAGATTCTCATTGCGAATTACTCAATGTTGACAGTCGCAATGGCTTTCACACACTAAAAATTCCCAAATGTATCATTATTATTATATATGCTGTTATCAAGAAACGAAGCTAAATTTGTCTATCTCAAATTTGACTTGAAACTGGCGCTTGATTATTCAGAAAAAACATAAAGCAACTTCTAGAAATACTCCTTTTTTAATATGATTTACCTGTTTTTGTAATTTTATAAAAATCAGTTTATACAGAAGTTATTTGATACAGTATTAAATTGAATGTAGTATATTGTTTTGTCAAAGGACGGGACCTAATTCACAGATAAAGTTTGAAATGTATTGGCAATTATTATCATTCATTAGACATTTATACTCTCGCCGCATTTCGACGCAATGTTCACTGTTATCCCAGTTACTTGGGTTATCTAAACTCTTCAGTTAACGATGTATATATGCCCTCTTTATCTACGTCGTTGATATCCAGCCAGTAACTAGTTTTGGTTAACTTTGCTCTTAAAGCCTCGAGCTCGTCATTATTTTGCACACTCGTAAGATGTCCACCAAGTTTTATACACTTGACTGCTGCTGCGAACCAATTAAGCTGTTCATCGTTGGCTATATAATAATATTTCGATCCAATTTAATCAAATTTACCTATATCAGGCTTGTCGGTTGCACTAACTATACTGCATAGATTTCTCCACTGATCTTCAAACTTTCCTTCAAGTGTATGTAAATTTTTTTTCAGTGTGTCAAACTTCATATGAAACAGACTTTCAATGCTCTCCAATTTTTCTAACAAATTCGTCTGTTTAGCCTGGTACTCGACTTGCTTCTGCAAATCTGTTTCTAATATTTTGCATGAGCCTTGCAATTGTTCGTTTCTTACTTGCAGCAAAGCTTTTATGTTGTAATTGACCCGTCTTTCGGTTAATTTCCGTCTTATAAATATAAATATAAATATAAAAAGAAATCAATATAAATATGCAAAGAAATCAATATCATTGTTCATTTTACAGTCTTCCAGCACGATGATGACGCTTAAGCAGACCGGTATTCCCGCCACCGAATATGATGCGATGAGGACAAATTGGTATCGATACTATTGGCATAGCATCAAGCAAACCTTCGGATTTGGCTCCTCCATATCTGATGCCTTATAAGCTGCACCATGAGCACATGGACACTGGCCAGGCCTAAATGCTTATTATCACACGAGTTCCATTCTACAGCGCTGCAAATTGATTTTCACCACCTTTAAGCTATCATTTCTGTGCGGCTGCGTGCCGGCGCACTTTGTTAACACTTGAATACGGCATGAAAACTTATAGACGGAAACACTGTTCGACAGCAGCAGCAGCAGCAGTAACAAAAATATTAAATAAATCAACAAATCAGGTCATTTAGTCATTGTTCAATCTATGCCACTCACTCGACACTGATTCACACCTTATATAAACGGCGAAATAAATGAAAAATCTTAATGATTATCTATGCAAGTTTAATCTTATGATAGGCAAATGGGTAAAGGGTACTGTAAATAATGGGTTTAATTCAAAAGAGCTAATGAAATTATATTTCTTATAAAGCCAATCTACCGATCTTTCAATAAACCCGTTTTGCTTGTGCCGCAGATTTGATTAGCAAGCTTTTCCAGCTGCTCATAGATGAAACTTGAAACTGGCATAATCCGATCGACTAGAAAGCGAAGCATCGGTGGTTCAGTGGTAGAATGCTCGCCTGCCACGCGGGCGGCCCGGGTTCGATTCCCGGCCGATGCAAAGTTACTTTTTTTTTAACTCTTTTAAATATTTTATATAATTTCAGTAATTAATTCATATATAAATTAAATAATAAAACGAGGTCTCAAGATAAGATTTGCATTGGCCAAACTGTATATAATGAATTGCTTTCAAAATAAAGCATACTATTGTAGAACACTTTCATCTGATCATAGCATAGTTATCCTACATATGAAACTGAACTTTTCAAGTTGATAGATAAATAATCAAATTGACATATCCACTCAACGATATGTACCAAAAAGTGATAAAATTAAAATTGTTCGCAGCTATAATCTTTTATAAACATTTTAAAATTGATATTTTTAGGATACAATAATATTGTGCTCTTACATACAAAGGAAGTAAGAGAAATGTATTTTAAATTATAGAAGCGACTCTTCCACTTAAAGCATATAATTTATCAAATCAGTTTAATTTATTTTTATTTAATTTATAAATATTTTTAATTACATACTAGGAACTCTTGATATTCATATTTCTGCTAGCTTTAAGATGCTTAGTTTTGACTTCTGATTCACCGAAGCATCGGTGGTTCAGTGGTAGAATGCTCGCCTGCCACGCGGGCGGCCCGGGTTCGATTCCCGGCCGATGCAAAGTTATCTTTTTATATTTTTTTTATGTACAAACGCGATATTTAAAATATAAACTAATTCAAGCCGATGCCTGCTTATGGCCTACTTCAGTTGGTTTATGAATTTGTTGTTATACTTATGCAGTCACTGCCATGGTATTTTAAATAATCTTTGAATTATTTAAACACATGTTAATATACATACAATTGTATTTTTTTTTGTTAGTGCATGTTAGGCACTAACGGTCCATAGTTTAGTCAAGTGAATTTTGCAAAAAATAAAATAACTGTGGACTTGGCACATATAAAACTTAACTTTTCAAGTAAAAATTTTGTTTTTAATTTGCCGAAAGCTTAACACTATAAATTTTGATCGCCAATTTATAGAAGCATCGGTGGTTCAGTGGTAGAATGCTCGCCTGCCACGCGGGCGGCCCGGGTTCGATTCCCGGCCGATGCAAAAATCTATTTTGTATTTTATTAATGCAAAGTAGTATCATTTTTTTTTGTAAATTGAATTATTTATAAGTCTTCGCAAATGCTTACCATGCTCTGAAGAGCTCCAAGTGCCTTATGGAATTGATTTCTTGTGCGTTGTCAAATGTATTTGATATTCTTTGAAGCTGTTGCTCTTGAAGGCGTCGGCACAAGCCGAACACTCGTAGATAAACTTGCCCGGATGTTTGCCCGTCTTGACAATGTGTTTGCGTAAATTGTCCATGCTGCTGCACTGGAAGTCGCAGTGGGGGCACTGATGGGGCTTCTCCCCGGTGTGGCGACGCATGTGACGGTTCAGATGACCCTTGATGCGCGCCCTGAACTCGCACTGATCGCACGAGAACCATTTGCCACCCTCGCCCATCTCTGGCTCGGCTGCATGCGACTTGAGATGCCTGCAGAAAAATAGGGAGTAGAGAAAACTGTTAAGTATTCGCGCACTGCAAAGCCATATTTAAAATCTTTGGCTTGATTAGACGGTAAATTCCAGTGGCGGCTGTCCCCCAGCAACGCAGCCAGCAACTAATTGCTAATTTCGCATTCGAATCGCACGCTTGAAATCAAAATACAAAATACGAGTAAGTTCGCAACGACTTTGGGCAAACCAAAAGAACGCCACCGATCTTTACCGGCACCGGGACAGGCAGCGGCACCAGTAGCCAACACCAAGACCCAATACCCTCAGATGGAGATCAGTTTTGTAAACAGCGGCAAAGCGCATTCGGAAACGATCGCTCGCAGGGTTAGGCTCTGGACGCTGCGGCCAATGGGATATACAAAACATCCTAATATATTAAGAATGCTTATTCAATGGATAGTTAGATATGCTTAAATATGTTATGTGATTATCACGTCATAATACAGTAACTGGTGCATTTTTCTAGGGTAAAAACGAAAAAACAGAACGGAATTTTTCTCAACGAACAAACAAGCACAACTTATCAAGGACTCTTTGCTTGACCCGAACTTGTATGTCATATATATATTTTTAAAATATATTTAAGTAACGTGTCTCGCTGATCTTTGAACCTATATGCCCGAACGAAGCGACTGCTATACAAGACTGAAGGGTGCACACAGTTACGCGCCTTCAATTACGACCCGATGCCGGTTCGGGCTTTTCGAGCTGTGGTCGACTCCCCTGTGCCCAGAAGCGGGATCGAGGCCTGCGGCTGACGCTCATTTGTTGCTGGTGTTGTTGTCCACTCCACTTATCAGCTACTGTCCAAACCGAGGACTCACAATTAATTGCCAATGTTCTGCGTGGTCGCCGAATCGGAATCTGTGTGAAATCTCAGGCACAGCTACAGAGGCGGGGGTGGGGACGGGAGCGAGGGCGAGGGCGAGGGCAACCCTAGCGCGGCTCATGCGCAGTCGGTAGGCTTAATTAGCGGCAAGTAATGTTGCCGCTGTTGCAGTTGCAGCTTCGTGCTTGGCAGCAAGTTGTAGGAGTTGCCTCCACCTCCGCCAGCTCCTACTCCTCCTCCAACCGCTCCCGATTCCTTCCCTCGGTGCGTCGTCTCAGGCGTCGCTTTGAGCGGCGTCCGGCAATGCCGACAACCCATCGAACGTCCGAAACGAGGCCGAAACTGGACGCGTTTTGGCCAGCCTTTGAATTCCTGGACAAACTCCGCTCTTTTCTTTCTTTTGATAGCTAATTGAAGATCTCGACTGCCAGTTAAGCGCGTCACAACAGTGTCTGTGTGTGCTTGTGTATTTTAGTCGAATTTTGTGGGATTTATGCATGCCTGACAACTTAACCTACAGAACAAAACATTTTTAATGAGCTCAGTTGTGGCGTTGTGGACAATCCCCCAAATTGGGCGGAAGCAGTTCAAGTTGACCCCCCTAACCGCAAAGTGTCAAAGATTTGTCTGTATTCAATTGTTCTCTTATAGAATTCAGCTTCAGCTTGCAACTCAAATCAGATTACCCATGATTTTTCCACCCGTTTTAATGGATTTTTCAAGTTTATATGTAAGGGTACTATTTGTATAATATATGTATAAATAAAATGTAATATTTGATTTATTTGAATACAAGTACAATAATTGTACTTCAGGTTTTCAACCATTTCCACATTTCTGCCACACTCAATTTGTGGAATAGAGAAAGAATTGTCCTTTGTTTCGTGAACGTGTTCAGCAACAGATCCCCAACGACCATAATGCAGCGTTTCTACAGTATTTCGGCATAATACAATACAAATAGTTAACTATAGAAGTGTACTCCGCATAACTATCCAGCTATTCGATATTAAATATTCAAATTCTGCGCAACAGCAACAAAAGACGCAAAAGTTGTCCCCCATCAAAGCGATCGTAGCGATGCGTCGCAATGCTGCAAGACGAATACCCATTTATTCAACTCCCAGTTGCAGCAACTATATGAGAGTGTGTGTGAGCGTGTGTGTCTGTCTGTGTGTGTGTGTGTGTGTGTGAGTGTGATGCAGTGGGGCGGACAGCTGCACAGTGGCAGGCAACGGTGGCAGTGGCAGTGGCAATGCCAATGCCGGCAATTGGCCAAAAGTCCGCGAACGTTGCGCCATTCGGATGCGGATCGACGCTGTCGCTGCGTCCATGCGAGGGAGGAGGGGCAGGCGGCGCAGTGGCAGAGACGGGTGAAGCGGTTGGAGCAGCAGCAGCTGCTGCCGCTTCATTTCCAAATAGCCATTCACGTCGCGTATCTTTGGGGCCAGTAGAGAGCGCAGTGGAAATATTACAAGAATTCAATGTGCATATCAAAGGCGATCGATAAGTCACGATTTTGTGGTACGACTCGGTCGACTCTCGATCCGATCCGTTTGGCTGCCTGCTCCGCAGCTCTTTGACTGCGATTGGCACTGCCCAGTCAGCAGCTCCTTTCAGTGGTTGCTGCTGCTGCCGCTGCTGCTGCTGCAGTTGTTATTGTTGTTGTTCTCATCAATTTATGCAATTGCAATTCAAAGTCTGCAATTATGGATGACATTTTGCTCTTGTTGCTCCTTTTTATTACCATTTCCATTTGCTGTTTGTTTTTTGTTTTTTTCTTTTGAGAAATTTAAATTCGTGTAGAAAATGTCGCTCGTTTATTTTGTGCGCTTGGCAATTGTATTTGACTTCATCGGTAAATCCAGATTAGCATTTTGTAGATTAGTAATAGCGCTCCGTCATGGCGTCAGGAGTAGGCCTCGACCTCACCCTATCGAGTATCGCTCGAATGGGAATTGAGCTCGATTGGTATGTAGTCCATTTATTATTACCTTTTGATTATTTGGAAACATTTTCAAGAAAACGAATAAATTCTGCAGCCTCTTCTTTAGACGACAAGCGGATTGTAAAAGTCGCCGTTTCGAATGGTAAAAATGGTTGAATATGGAATTTGGTGTGCGTAAGATTGAAATTTAAATACATTTTGTTGTTTGAATACAAATCTATTCGATTGTAAATTCACTCATATATACTCTGTACTCATTTTATTGTCAAGTTTTAAGTTTGCATATACATGCAAACATGTTTGTTTTGTATATATGCAACCATGAATAAATATATATATATATATATGCATGTATGTATGAATGCATTTCTGCATATAGAAATATATGCATGCGTATTTACAT